TGTGACAATGAATATATATATGTTCATGTATAACTGAAAAATTCTGCTCTACACTGGAATTTGGCACAACATTGTAAAATGACTATGAATCAATATAAAATGTTTAAAAAAACACTAAATAACAAATGTATGGAATAGTTGGCAATTGAACATAAGTGACTAAATATATTAATTTTCATCTTGGTATCTGGTATGATGAAATACTGTCCAAAACCATAACTTATTAAAACAATCTATCAGAAAAATAAATAAAATAAATAAATAAATAAATAAATAAATAACTCCTTCCTTTAAGAAAAAAATAGGCAAGGAGTTTACTGAAATAAAAGGCATTCTATAATACAAATAAATGTTGAAAGGTGGTAAATAATAAACTGGAAGAAGTGACATTTTAATTTACTATATATGACAATAAATGAAAAATTACTATAGATCTTATATTGTTGAGTATAAATATATTTAGGACTATTAGTGAAATAATACATATAATTAGGTATATGTGTATTCAACAAATATTATCAAACCTTTACTAGACACCGGAATTACCAGAATCTAAAGACCTAGTTTCTACATTCTCACAGAATGTAGGGAAATCAGGCACACAGCATTTATAAGAGGAATATATTGAATGTGCATTGGCACACAAATGAAACATCCAGACCTTTCTAGGGTCAGTCAGGTAAGACCAGACTTGAAAGATGAGTAAGAGTTTACCAAGCAGATAAATTTGAAAAAGAAGGAGAGTCATAGAGACATGAGAGAATTTGGGCAAATACAATGATGTTAGTACAGCTGGAGTATAAAGAAGATAAAAAAGAGTGTGTGATTAAAAAGAAATGACCTGGTAATTGCTTTTCCAACCATAAAGGAAATAAGAGGTTTTCCAAGGAGAAGGAAAACATGGCGCTCTATTACAGACTTCACATGATAGTTCCCTGGGTTTCACCAGGGACAAATGATGCATATATTAAGAGGAAGATCTAAGTAGTATCTCTTATTGGGAGTGAACGCTTCTGTTGTTTAGCATTATGCCATTTATCCTGTTTGTGGTAGCCCATAGCTTATATTCTTAAGTGTCTCGTAACTCCTGGTGGTGAAGGTGTGGGTAGACAACAAGGATGTTAGAAAGTAGAATGCATGGAGTGGTTTAATAGAGTGACTTTTCGTAGACTTGTTGTACAGTGG